GAGGGACTCCTTAAGTGCTGTTTGGTGAGCTCGTGAGAAAAAGGATTGACACGATCCCGGCTTTCCTGCCAGATGCCTAATCCGTGGGAGCTTCGCCAAAACTAATTAAGGAGGAAAAAAGCCATGCAAGATAACTCCTATCTGTAAGCGCCGGCTGCAGGGGGGCTGCTGCCGGCGCCTGCCGTAGCCTCACAACTACAAACATACCTGAAGATTTGAAGCTGTAAAACCAGCTTGGTTTTGTTACAGGATTTAGAAAACCAAAGCCCTCTGTGTGAAGGGATGTCACTTCCAACGTGCTTCGACTGGCATTTAAAATTTTACTTGGAAATTTGTAACGTGCTTTAAAAAACACATCAGAGTGTGTAAAATATTGCCCAGTTATTAAATGAGCTTCACGTCTGTCAGTGGATACCATCCCCTCCAGCTCCATACATCCCCCGGGCACACAGAGCCCGAAAACCCTCCCATGAACTGCTTGTTCTGAAGGTGGATGCTAAGCAAGAGACTTTTTCATCTATTAATGAAAGATAAATACTGCAAATCACATGAAGGTGGGATTGTTTGTCTGTAATGACTGTGGTGTCAGGGCTTAAGGATGTGCTCCTAAAGCCATGGGTGACCTGAGGCATCCCAGCATCACACAGTAGCACTACCTTAGCCCCTGCCACACGCTCCCGCCCACCAAACCCCCTTTTTAATGCTTATTCTTTGGGTTTATTCAATAAAGAGGATGGGGGCTGGCAGATGTGTCGAGGCTGTGGTGGGATGGAGGTCTGGCTCAGCTGGCACTTTGAACCTCCCACCTCACCGCAGGCTGCTTCTGCTGAAGCTGTCCTGGGGGGTCCTGGGGCTCCCCTGTCCTAGCCCTGTTGTCTCACCCATCCCCTATAACTGCCCACTGCTCTGGCAGCACTGACACAGGGTAAAGCCGTGCTGCTGGTCTTCCCCATGGCCCTGAGCTGGTAAGAGGCAACTTGGTGTCGCTGAGCACCAGGATGCTTGTCCTGAGCCCCTGCTCCGACCACCGGCGGGGGAGCGCTCCCCACCCCTCGCTCTCAGCATCGCAGCCCTCGGGTACCAGCGGGGGGGCTCCACAGGCAGCTCTGCCCTGGGAAGGACCGAGCCTTGCACATGCTGGGGATCTCCTCAGCTCTTCTCTGTTGGCATCAACTTCAGACAAGCCTCTTGGGCGTTGATGGACACCATCCAAACCCAGTTGCTTGCCAAGAACTGAAGAGGTTCACTTGTTTTTTCAGGTCAGACGGCAGCATTAGCTTATGGATGTGCTAAGAGGGGTGTTTCAAGCCCATGCTCTTTCAGTGAGGTGTCTCCTAGCATCTCTAAGTTTTTTGGTAAGTCATCAGCTGTTGATGAAACGGAGCCCTTCAATGCTCTGCAGCAAAAAGAGCATCTGCTGCCAGCACTGACCTGATCCAATCTGCCATCCAAAACGCTTTGATGGAGCTGCAGTATCCCCAGGAGTCTTCCTTGCATGGACATCTCTTGCCAAGCTTGTCCTAGCCCCAAACGTCATATCTCAAATCTGCAGGTCGCTGGAGGTGAGGCAGCATTGCACCTTGGGATGAAGCTGTTCAGGAAAAGACCTGCTTTTCCCCGGCTGAGTCAGTGGGAGTCACACAGTTGGTATTTTGTCTTCTTCAGTAGCATCCTGGAATAAAAAAAACGCACGAAACTGGCTGGGGTTTTCTCAGTTAATTATTTCTAGCTGGAAAGTGGCCACTCGGGGAAGTGAAACTTTTTGGCAGAACAGTGCCAGCTTCTGCAAGATTTTGACAAGTGATTTTCCCGACAGTTCTGCAGTGGGTCTCAGTTAGTAAATAAATAAAAAGGCTCCAGTTTCATTGGCACTAACACAAATCCAGACAGCACAAAACTCTTTTTCTCACCCAATACTCTTGTTTTCCAAGCTGCCTGATATGAATCTTATCCTCAATCAAGTTTGGACATCTCTTTTGCCCATGCTGCGTTAAAACATGGCCCTGACCTTAAAGGTGCTGCACTGTAAATAAGCAAGAGGAGGAAGGATTCCTACCATCATTTTTCACCAGGAATTTGGGGACAAATGGATGAACTGACTCGGGGTCGGCAGGAGCCCCTGTCCCACAGGCAGTGGCTATGCTGCTCCTGCCCTGTCTGGAAGAGCTGATGCTGCTGGGGGTGATGTTTGCTGGGGTGCTTAAAAGTGAAGATCTGGTCTAAATAACCCCAAAACGCTTCCCCTGTCCCCTTTTAGATCAAAATACCATTAGCAGCTGCTGGCTTGGGTTATGACGTTTTCCTACAGAGCCATGAGTGGGCTCATGTACTCACAACCATACATCCAATTTCTTATGGCCTTTCTGCTAAAAATAGCCCCCGAAGACCCTAGGTAAAGCAGCACCCCCAGTTGTTTCTGCCTATAAAACTGGGAGCAATAGTTCTCCTCCAAAGAGACCGCCAAAGCCTCTGATCCTGACCTAACAGAAAAGATGCTAATTAAATGCTGACCTCCCATATTTTCCTTTTCAGTATATTTAACCTTAAATTCCTTCAGGCACCTCTGGTTCGCTGAAGCTCGTCAAATTAATGCTACCTAATGGGAAGCAGTACGGAATAACAAAGAAGGACTGTCTCCATCTCTGACTCGGTTTCGGCTGCTCTGAACAAAATGAGGGTGATTTTCCTGGACGATCGGGGCACCGACGGCCCCGGCTTGGAACCAGGGCACCGGGACGCCCGCTGCAATTAGCACTTGGGAGCGAAGGGCCCCGTTTGCCGGGGATGCTGCGGGGTTAAGCCCTGTGAATTTTGCCACCATGCTGCTAGAGGTGAAGAGTTTGTCAAGGCGCCTCACAGCCTCTATAATAAAACCCCGGTTGCTGGGGGAGCTGGCGGTGCCTGTCTGCCGCAGACCCCCGGGTGCCCTCGGCAGGAGGGCGCAGCAACCTGGAGTCGCCGTGAACCAGGACCAGATCCCAGCTCTGTCCCGGATGGGGGGACGCGCCTCATCTGCAACCTGACAGTGAAGCTGAAGCCTCGTCCCGTGGGTTTGACCCTCTGCCCTTGCTCTGCTTCGCTTTCAGTGTGCCCGGGACCCCTGGCCGGCGCCACGTGGGGAGGAGGGCTTGGCTCCCAGGAA